GGGGACTGGCACACGAGGGGGGGGAGACAACTGCAGCCACAGGGTGACTCTTGGGGCTGAAGCCCTCCGGCGGGGACTGGCGGTGCAAGAAAACGAACAAACCAACCAACCAACCCTGAAGCAGCAGCCTAAACATTCATCTTGTGGAACTGTGAAGGGTTCCCAGAGCTTTGCTGGTTGTGGAGGTGGAAGAGGCGCCTGAGCTGCCCCGCAGCGCAAGGCAGGGCTTGCGGGGAAGAGAAAGTCCAGGCTAAAAAAAAAAGCCGTATTTGTTGGTTAAGCAGCACTTGTCCCGGCACAGCCTCACCACGTGCTTCATTCTCCTTGCAGGGATTGTTCTATAACAGACTTTGAAGCACAAACCATCTTTCTGTCCTGTATTCATAAAAAGTACGGGACCAAAAGCCAGGCACGAGCTGGATGAAGCATTCGGGTTCATTCAAACCACAGAAGTCTGAGGAAACACACACAAAGTTCCTACTCTATGTGAAGTTCTTCCTCGAAGCGGTTCACTGGAAATAGCATTTTACTACCATTTAGAAATAGTTACTGTTAGAACTTTGCAAGTTGTCTGTAGAGCAGGGGAATTCCTCTCAAAATCTTGCCATTTCTGCTCCTGGCCTCTTCACTTCCCCCCTCTCCCCCCCTTCCATGATGTCACCCGCATTTAGGTGGCTAAAAATGACCATTTTTGGGTTCTGTACTCATTACATTGGTGGCACCTCTGCTATTCCTGTAAGTATTTTGACCATCTCCAGTCTGCTCAGCAATGCACATCTAGACTGAAGAAAAGTTTTAGTGCATCAATTTTTAAACTCTGGACATCAATATAGTAAAAAAAGAATTGAACATCAAGAGCTGAGCAAAGACTAAGTGAACTGCAAGCTGCAAAACCCACTTTATTAAAGTAAATGCAAACGGGAGGCAGAGCGGGAGAAAATTTCCAGTGCCAAAAGCATCCCGATCTAAGGTAGGTGATCCTCAATTTGACCTTAAAATATTATTGTTTGGAGTACAATGCTATTGTACAGCAATTGCATGAGCTACTTTGATGGATTTCACCTATGGTATGTAAGAGATCTGAAATGTAAAATAATTATTTCTATAGCAATAAACGTAGTATAACTCATGCTGATTTTTTTTTTTTAAAAAGGTAATGTGTTGTTGTTTTTTTTTTTTTTTTTTTTTTTTTCTTCTTTTTAAAGCTATACATTAGATTGCTGGCTTTTTTTTTTGCCAAGAACGCTTACAAAAATGATGTGGACAAGGTAAGCATTGAGACGAGCCCACAGAGAGAGACTCTGCCCAGTTCTGGCGCAGCGGCTCTCTCCCTGTGGATGGTGGCGGGATTAGGGATTAGTCAGACAGGGGCAGAAAACTGATCATATAAATATTTTCACAATACAAATGGAAATAAAGACAAGGAAAACCCCAACCATACATGGTTTACGTCTTAGTAAAGCCTGTGTGTCTGGGATTTATAATTGAAGCTCTTTCTTGTCACTTTCTGCTTTTTTTTAAAAAAAAAAAAAAAATATTTATTTTGTGCCTATATGCTGCTTAAAACAAACAACACAAAACACCTCCTTGCATAAAGCCTAAGATTAAATGAGATGAAAATTTAGCTGACGGCTCTGCCCTGCAGATAGGAAACCAAGTTCACTCTCCTGCATCAGCGCTCGCTCTACGGGGGCATCCTCACGCAGAGCCCGCGGAGAGATCGGGTACAGCACCTCAATAACCCAACTCCGCTGCAAGAGCGCACGTAGAGTAAGAAAGACCCACCTGGATGTGCTTTATTTTAGCTTCTGTCTAAACCACAAATTGTTTGCGACATGGGTCACCTGCCTGCTCCCAGAGCTTCCTGCACGTCACCGCTTCCTACCTGCAAATCACGCGTCGTCCAACACCAGCAGATGCTGCGGGTGACCCGGGAGAGGCAGTGTTAGTGCTGGAGGAGCGGGGCTAGGGCTCAGCTGGAGTTACCCGAGATAACTGGACTAGTTTTTCTCCTGGAAAAAGCGAGATCTCCTTGTTGGTGGCTGGAAAGCCCCACGTGGTGGTCGCAGCAGGAGCAGCTCTGAGGTTTTTTGTGAATACGCTGCTTGTTACTGCAGAGGGGGGGAAGGTGTGAACACGGAGGGTGTGAAGTAGTCATAAGTGATCTTAAAAGACAGCAGCTGGGTAAGCATGGCACCCACCTGCTAACGAGGCACTCACCTGCTAACGAGGCACTCACCTCCTAACGAGGCGAGGAGCTTGTGGACACCACATCTCTGTTGGTAAGGGACTGATGCTGGGGAGAATTGAGCACTAACGCCAGCCCAGAATCCCTCTGCCTGGGGAAAGGGCCTCATCCAGATGCTAACCTGAACATCGGGATCACATCGGCTGGGCCAGAACATGGTGGAATTTTGGCCTCCAGCCGGCAAATTGGCAACTGCTTCATTACTTTCAGCACGCTGGGACTTCTCCCTGTGTCCCTAGCCCAAAAATGAGGAAAAGAGGGAGTGCACTGGCTCAGCTGTAGTGGTGTACACCAGAAAAGATGAAATGAGTATAGAGATAATATTTTTCCTGATTTCTGGATGTAAATAAGGAATTCCAGCTCATAAGGACTTCTAGCTCTTCCAGGGCGTTTTTGTTAGCTCCTCGTAGCTCCAAGCCCTGCAGACTGGTGGGCATTACGGCACTGCATAAAACTCACCATTTTTGAACTGGCCACCCGCCCAACAAAGAGATTTTACACAATTTCAAGTCATCTGTCCAGTCTCTGTCCTGCTGCAATGAGGAAACTAGTGGGGCTCTGTTGAAGCCACCGCACAGTGTCAATCTACGCAGAGCGGGAGTGACCCGAACGTCTGTCTCGCTGTTTGCTGAGGACACTGAAAGCTGTTTTGCGCAGGCAGATGTGGTCGGCCAGCTGTGTGCGGAAACACACACATCTCCACAGCAGAGCTGCCTCCACTGCCTCGTACAAAGGGGAAAAAAATAAAGGGGAACCTGCCCGAAGAGGATGCTGTGCCAGCTGCACCACCGCCGCGCTGCAGCCTGTGCTGGAAGGGGAAGAGCGCGTTTCTGCAGTCCCGTCCTGCGGTTCCTATCAGCGGAGCAACGGCGAAGGGCAGAGCTGGGCGGGAGCGGAGTTATTTTGCAGATGGGGGGACGCACATCGTCCCCAACACCGGGTGTGCAAGCCACTGGTGCAAGGGCTGAGCCTATCTCGTGATGCGTTCTGGGGAGCATCAAGAAGATTGGGGGGTGCATCAAGCAGAGTGTGGCCAGCAGGTCAAGGGAGGTCATCCTCCCCCTCTGCTCTGCCCTGGGGAGGCCCCATCTGGAGCACTGTGTCCAGTTCGGGGCTCCCTGGGTCAAGAAGGACAGGGAACTGCTGGAGAGGGTCCAGCAAAGGGCTACGGAGATGCTGAGGGGACTGGAGCATCTCTCTGCTGAGGAGAGGCTGAGGGACGTGGGGCTGTTCAGTCTGGAGAAGAGAAGACTGAGGGGGGATCTTATCAACACTTATCAATCCCCAAAGGGAGGGTGCCAGGGGGATGGGAACAGTCTGTTCCCAGTGGTGCCCAGTGACAGGACAAGAGGGAACGGGCACAAAGGTGACCATGGGCAGTTCCATCTCCACCTGAGGAGGGCCTTCTCTGCTGTGAGGGCGGCAGAGCAGTGGCAGAGGCTGCCCAGAGAGGTGGGGGAGTCTCCCCCTCTGGAGCCATCCCAAACCCGCCTGGACGCCGTCCTGTGCCACTGCTGGAGGTGCCCCTGCTCTGGTGGGGGTGGGATGGGGGAGCTCCAGAGGGCCCTTCCAGCCCCCACCAGTCTGGGATGCTGTGATCTCCCCATCTCTGCAGCACGAAGGGGTGCAGAGCAGGCAAGCAGTGGGCTCCTGTGGGCAACCAGCCCAGGACGCTGCCACCAGCAGTAGCCGGCAGCTCGGCACTGCAGAGGGCGGGAATAGGGCTCACTATGGCATTGAGCTTCTGCCATTTCCTTCTTCATATTTCCTGCATGCTTTGAAGTGATTCCAACGCACTAACAAGTTTGAAATAAAGCACGTGATTTACACCTACTGAGGTTTTAACTGCAGTGGGGGTTAGGCAAATCTCAAACAAAGAATTTTAATAGAGGCTTTTTAGGATATAACACTGCAGTAATCAACAGTCAATTTTTAACTCAAACAAGGAAGTAATTCCCGTCTGAAACAGAGACACCCAAACACTGTTTCTGTTCAGATCTGAGAATAGATAACAACAATCTGTGCAAAGATAAATTGCAGGGAAGAAAAATAAAAAAGGAGGACAGACAATTGGGGTGTGGCAGGAGATGTTTGAGGATGTTGGCGTTCCTGAGACCTGCAGCATTTCCTATTGTTTCTTCTGCTGAAAAAAAAAAAAAAAAAAGCGTATTTCCACTGAAGTCACGCACACAAAGTTTTAGTTGCAGCCAACTGTCTTTGTAGACAGCAGCCCACA